GAACTCTGTGCTAACAATGATTGTGTTATTTGTGACTTGTGTACTGTATCACTTGCACAAGTATCAGTTTTTTTTTTATTGGTTGAAAAATGCAAAACCCATTTTGTCTGAAACGTGTTTTTAAATTCACAATGTATAGGAACACATTTTGAAATTCACTGTTGTATCAATAAATAATAACTATCAAGGTAGTTAATGTTATCCAGACAGCACAATAATCTGTCAGTTGGTTATGTTATTTACCTATCAAGGTAGTTTTTATTGAAGATTCTATCTGTTAAATTTTCAAGAAACCTTATAGTAGTAGAGGTATGAGCTGATTCAGTGGACAATCATGACCTGTCACAAGTGGAATGCGCATGAAGATAGAATGATGTAAAAAAAAAGTTAAGAGAGGTTAAACTTTTTAATGAATAAAAAAGCAATCGAAGATCTGATTAATCCTTAGATTAGCAGCTATATTCTCTATTCATTGTGGAATAATGATTTATTTTTTGAAGATGCTAGTGCTTGCTGACTCTAAATGTGAAATGTTGTAACAAATGCTTTAAGTTATGGAAACATAATGTTTTTGCTCTGCCTGGAACAAATTCTTTTTGAAAGCTTTTCTTGTTTTTTTTTTTCGGGGTGGGGGTGATACTGTAATATTAAGACGTCAATTGCTGCTGTGAGGCTCAGGCTTAGAAAGTTCACTCATGGTTAGTTAGCCTCCTACTCCTACCGATGCATATAATTTGTCCAAAAGAAAGTGGATGCTTTGTTGCTTTAGAATAATGTTTATCAAGCCTGATTGTTCTGAAGGGCTTTTAAACACCATCCAAAGAGTCTATTTAGTTGAGAAAATAATGAAACTGTTAGAATGCAGCAAAGCACAAATTGCATGTTGCAATGTATTACAAACTCATAAGTTGATATCATTTACATTTTTTCTACCCTGTTTTCCATCTGCTGATTCTTTTTGCCTTGTGTTATAGATAATTGCCCTTCGGAGAGCAAAGAGGAGAAACATGGAAAGATTGGTTTTAGCCTGTGGAGGAGAGGCTGTAAACTCTGTAGATGATTTGACTCCTGAATGTCTGGGTTGGGCAGGATTGGTGTATGAGCATGTCCTTGGTGAAGAGAAATATACATTCATAGAAAATGTTAAGAATCCTTTTTCCTGCACAATCTTGATTAAAGGTAAAACAGATCATTTTATTCTTTATTATTTTTGCATGAATTGCTGTACAGTTTTGGAACAAACTGTATCATTTTATTGCTGCTGATGGGTTTTAAGATGAGATGATTTGCGATGTTATCATAATGATACAGGTCCTAATGACCATACAATAGCTCAGATTAAAGATGCCATTCGTGATGGTTTGAGGGCCGTGAAGAATACCATTGAAGATGAATCTGTTGTCTTAGTAAGTCTTATTTTTAGTCAATCAATTATTTTTATACCTTTATTGTACAGATATTTTTTCTTTTGATCATGTGCATGCCCATGCTGTTGAGTCACTCATTTTTTCATGCTGGTTTCCTCAATCAAATGGTTTTTCCCTAAAATGCAGAGAACGTGGTCTAGTTAGCCGTAGTACAAACAAAATACTTATTCAAGGTGTTGGCATAGTTGTTAGATGTTTCAGAATAACCAATCTAATAGGAAGCCTTTTTTTTTATTGCTAAATAAGAATTTTTGGACTTAGCAATTGCACCATAGTGTAGAATCTGTAGATAATTATTGTACTTCTGATTTAAAACAAGGAAAGCTTATTATAGAATTTGAAATATTTCCTAGAAGTTTCTTGACTGAGTTATATCAAAATATTAGCTGTGTGCATGAGTGGATGCATGAATGATTTTGATTTGTTCCAGTAGTTGTTTGAATAATTTTGAGCTTCAAGTTGGATCCACTTGTTTCTTTCAAGTAGTTAATAGTTGGAAAGAAAGCAGTACTGCTACAGGGAAGCAATCCGCATGCAATTATGCTCCTAGCTCCTTATAGAAGCACTTAATTGAATTCATATGACATCCAGTCAGTAATTTTGCTTCCACCTTCTGTTTGGTGATTGTAATTGATTTTACTGATCAGGGTGCTGGTGCCTTTGAAGTTGCTGCTAGACAATATCTGATCAACGAAGTTAAGAAAACAGTTCAAGGGGTAATGAGTGTCCCTGGTTTTTCATGTTTTTGTTCTTTAATTGTCAGTTACATATTTCATCACTGATGTTCATACCCTTGAAATAGCGTGCACAACTTGGTGTTGAGGCTTTTGCTGATGCTCTTCTTGTGGTGCCTAAGACACTTGCTGAAAACTCTGGGCTTGACACTCAAGATGTGATTATTTCCCTTACGGTATGCTTACCTTAATCTATTAAACTTGGCTTTATTTCCCCAATGTAATTGTATAGATATTCTCATATAAAGTAGAAGACAGATAACGTTATTATACTTGCCAAATGCTGTTTCAGGGAGAGCATGACAGAGGGAATATTGTGGGATTGAGCCAGAACACAGGAGAACCTATAGACCCTGCAATGGAGGGTATTTTTGACAACTACTCCGTGAAGCGTCAAATCATAAACTCAGGGTATGGTTAAACCTCGAGTATTTGATAGTCAATTTGACACCTTGAACTTGTCGTTTAGTTGTGTAACTAGGATCATGAAAATACTAGAATCATGTCATTACTAACCTGTTTGAGAGGGAGAAGAAAATTTTGAAATTTGAAGAGGAGAAAATTTTGAAAATTTATTTTAAAAGTGAACCTTTTCTCTTTTTGCCTTTATTTTCTCTTCCACCAAACAATAGAAAATGCATTTTTATCCATGTTTTCTCTCCTCTAATCTAAACATTCCAAACATACCATGTCATTCCATATATTTGAATTTAAACAGTAACTTTCACTGAAGTTGGTTTAGTTGCATTTATTTACTGATGTCTTCTATTGGCCCGTGCTATACAGGCCAGTTATAGCATCTCAGCTACTATTGGTGGATGAAGTAATTCGTGCTGGACGTAACATGCGGAAGCCCACTTAAATGTTCTTTCATATCTGAAGCTTCTCTTTGAGTAGGATGAATTCTTTATTTCAAGATGTCAGCAGCATTCGTTGGGATTGTTATGCATTCGTTGGGATTGTTATGACATGTTTCTTTTTATCTGCTCTGTAGCTTACTTTGAAACTGAAACACTGCTTCTGTTTCTGGCTTTTGTTTTTGTCCATTTTCTTTTGATTATATTTTTTTCATTTTCTCTCTCAAGGACTTTGTAATATATGTCTACTATGACTGAATTTTGGGCCATTATTACCTTTGAAATTTGTATGCATAATCTATTTTGTAGATCTAGTTGGAAGTGTGTTTTACCTTAAAAAGTAGCTTGTTTTTTGTTTTAACTCGAGCAGTAGTAGTGCTCTTTCTCTCAGCAACCGGGGCCATTGTTTGTGCAAGATGGCATCATCTTGCTATTCTTGTATGAAATATTGGTGGCGTTGAATTAGTATTGTTTAGAAGGGAAAAGAGTAAATTCTCAATTTTGTCCTTGCAATAATTTATCTTAATTTATTTTAAGCGTGTTTTAAAATTGCAATTGTGGGACATTCAAGTAGTTTTTTTATATTGAATGTAGGATCTAAGTATTTCGTGTTTGTAGTTAAGAAAGAATTTTATTTTAGGAATCAAAATATCGTTTTGTTTTTTCCAAGAATTAATTTGGGTATTTTTTACTCCGTAAAATTTTCATTTTTGGTATTTGTAGAACTCGGTTAAGAAAGAGTAAATTCTCTAGTTTGCATAAAATGGGACTATGAAACTCTACTTTTCCTTCCCTCAAACTCTCCCTCCTAGCTCCCCTCCCCATCGAATCCTCTCCCGCTCTCCCCACTCACCCCTTCCCCTCGAATTGGATTGGATATCAAGTTAGTTGATTTTGCATTTTTGCGAAAATGTAAAATTTTATTTGATTGCATCATCAAGTTTGTTTGTGTCAAAATGGGAGAGGATTTGTGTCCCGTCCCCAACTTTCTTCTTTTCTACAATTTTTGTGAAAAATTTTAATTTCTAAGTAAAAATAGAATTGTACCCTTATACGTGAACTGAAGTAGATTCGAATCCGTCTAAGAAGGAGAAATTTTTAGGTGGTTTGGTTTGGACTACCAGCAGTAGCTTAATTTTTTTTATAAGCAAGCTTGTCCTCTAGTATCGTTTGGAAAACGAAGTCGGAAGTCATAGTCACTACAGCAACTGAATGATACTAAATGGCTCTAATAGAGCTTATGGATGACCGGAAGGTATTATGCTGGGCTCCTGCCGTGCAACTTTCAAACATTACAATACACCATGAAAGGATTTCCCACCTGACAAACAAAACCAATAATTGCCTGAAATCATGGACCAGGCTTCCTTATCTTTTGTAATGTAGGATAGTCAGAGATCAAGGCTTGGCTGAGTTGATGTTAAATCGTATTCCTAGTTCTTAATAATTGCGTGAATTATCAGAGCCAATTCTTGTTAGATAAAAGTGGGCGTTGAGGATCCGTCCGAAATTAATTTAAACATATTCAAGTTTTAAAAATGGATTCAAGTTATATTTGGGCTGCTTGTGTTTCATATTTGTTTAACTTTTATGTATATATTTTTAGCAGTTATGCAATAATAATAAGATTCTTTGACTTAATTTTATTTATATTTATATTTTAAAATATATGATATATGAAGATAAATGTTAATTAATACCATAAAATACTCATTAAAAATTGTAAAATAAAATTTAATAATTGTTATTAATATAATTTTTAATTCCTTAACTTAGTACATTTGTTAGCAAGGACCCACCCTAAAATTAAAGCCAACCGTAAATTTTATTATTAAAATGTTTGCGGGGATTGTTGAACGGGAACCAAGTTTGAATACAAGAGGCGAGAGAGGACAACCCACACGTGTGAATGATGTTAGGTGGAAAGAGCTTGAGTTAGAATTGCATTACTAAAATCTAGCTACCTCCCATTCCCTTCCCTTACCGCAATTGTGAAGGTAGCTTAGGTATCAGTGTTGAGTGATCTGATGGGAGAAGAAGTGGAAAACAAGCAGGTGATATTCAAAGGGTACATTGAAGATGTTCCCAAAGAGAGCGATATGGAACTCAGGGTTTCCAAATTTGAGCTCAAGCTTCCCCCACAAGCTAATGCTATTCTCGTCAAAAACCTTTATCTCTCTTGCGATCCATACATGCGCGGTCGCATGCGTGATTTCCAGGGATCTTATATCTCTCCTTATGTTCCTTCTCAGGTATCTATCTACCAACTGGGCAACTACTAATTTCTTTTTCAATCTTCTCTCTCACTAAGACACCTCTACTTTGATGAAGCCCCTTGAAGGATTCGGCGTATCTAAAGTCATACACTCTGATAATCCAAATTTCAAGTCTGGTGATCTCATTGCTGGCTTCACTGGCTGGGAAGAATACAGCCTTATCAAAAGAACGGACCAGTTGAGAATAATTGAGACAGATCATCACATTCCTCTCTCCTTCCATATCGGTCTTCTTGGTATGCCACTATTTCCGTTGCTTTCTTTCTCTGTTTGGAATCACTAAACCAATAACTGTTTTGTTTGCTTTTAAATTTAATAATGTTGAATCAAGTTAGCCACTGACGAATAGGAATAGGATAGCATAGTTTTATGTTTAGTTATCATTGTCATATTCAAGGTTGGTAGGTACTCATGGAATCGTTTAATTTTAGAGATTTTCGTTGTTTATTCTTTTGACTGAAGAATACTGGTGGATTGCAGTTTTCTTCCACGTGCGAATGTGTACTTTATGGCGTAATTGTTAAAACCTTGAATTTTCTGTTGCTATTCTGGATTTATATTTTTCATTTTTCTGAATCCATTTTCCGCTCTTATACTCGTGACCCAGTTTCAGATAACCCATTTTGATAAATAATTAAACCTTCGTTTCTCCTTTTGATTTTATAGGAATGCCAGGTTTTACTGCTTATGCTGGATTTTATGAGGTCTGCACGCCACAAAAAGGAGAGTATGTTTTTGTATCTGCAGCATCTGGTGCCGTAGGCCAGCTTGTAGGTCAACTTGCTAAGTTGCATGGCTGCTATGTTGTTGGAAGTGCTGGCTCTAAGGAGAAGGTCCATTTTACTAATCATTTGTCCTATAATTGTAAAATAAAAAATAAAGAAACTTAATGCTTAAATTACATTTTCGTTCATGTATAATGTATGACTTAAATATATTTTTAGTTCTAATATTTTTGTGAAATTTTTATTTTAATCCCTCAAAATTTTTTCTTTTGATTTTAGTTTATTGTTTTTTCTAAACTAAGCACTTTTGGTCCCTCTCACTAATGTGACAATAAGTTGACACATAACAATCTCTTAGCAAGTCGCATCATCAATAAGGACCAAGTGCATTGAATTTTTAAAAAAATCAAAGATTAAAACCAAAAGAAAAAAATTGAGGAGCTAAAATTAAGATCTAAAAAGTGTGGGGACCAATAAGACATTTAAACCATAAAATATTGTCAATTAGACACACATGAATACACACACAAATACTTGAACCCAGTATTTAGTTCAGTTACTCATCGAATCTGTTTTATTTAGATTGACCTTCTAAAGAATAAGCTTGGATTCGATGATGCTTTTAACTACAAGGAAGAATCAGACTTGGATGGTGCTCTAAAAAGGTATGTAACTGGCTTGCAGATAATATAGAGTTGAATAGAAAATGCCTACGGAAAGGAGAATTATTTCCTTAAAGTTTGTTTGAGAAAAAAGGTTCTATACTTCCCAGAATTAGTACTGCTCTGCTCACTCGTTATTCTTCATGATTTCCACAATCAAAATTTGAGACGTAATATGTCCTCGCTAACATGACAGGTATTTTCCACAAGGCATTGACATCTATTTTGATAATGTTGGTGGGGAAATGCTTGATGCTGCACTCCTTAACATGAGGATTCATGGTAGAATTGCAATCTGTGGGATGGTGTCTCAGCATAGCCTTTCTAATCCAAAAGGGATATACAATTTATTCAATCTCATATCAAAGCGCATCAGAATGCAGGGTTTTTTGCAAAGTGATTACTTGCACCTATACCCACGCTTTTTGAAAGATGTTTCAAGTTACTACAAGCAGGGAAAGATTTTTTACATTGAGGACATGAACGAAGGCTTGGAAAGTGCTCCAGCTGCTTTCGTTGGGCTTTTCCATGGAAAGAACGTTGGTAAGCAAGTCATTCGTGTTGCTCATGAATGATTTTTTTTCCTAGCAGAAGCTTTCTATGTTGTCAACATGTCCATTTGCAGAATTGATATAATAAAATTCAAGGATTTTCTATATTAGAGTTTGATACATTGTTCTGTAAAGTTATTTCTATTGTTCTAATATGTTGGACAGTTTGATTTTGGGAAGGGGGTATCATTTTATTGAGTTAACAACTATTAGAATTGTTATTATGGGAGCAATTGACACGAAGTTATGGGTTTGTACCTATTATTATTATTGTATAAAGAATGTCTAAAAAACTCCCAAGTTATTAGGTTTTAAAATTCAGGTTTGGCTCAACAAGAACTAGTAGGGTATTCAAAACACATAGAGATTCATCTATGACTCGTGTGACACTGGCTTCATGACTTTGTGAAACTTGGGGTTTTCTGTGTTTTAAATTCTGAATTATGGGGTATCCTAACTAACCTCTGCATAGCTTGTTATAAGGAAAATCATAAGCTCTATATTGAGAATGATTGTAGCTGTACAGCTTGTTATGTTTGTAACACTCAGCACCCTCCTTGCTTTTGGTTGCTTATATTGACTAAATGAAGAGAAGGAACTAGCAAGTTCACCTCATTCTTGGTTTTCAGAGAGGACAATAGAGTGGTTGATTGGTTGGCTAATTACTTGCATTCCGAGTCCTTAAGATTTTGCGTAGAGGGTCGTGGGCAGTGTTTGGTGAAGCCTTTGTGGACTTCTCTTTTTCTTAGAAGTTAAAGTAGGCATGGGAACGAGGTGGGGTGGGATGAAATTGGGTTTTGTCCTTCCTGTCCCCGTGAAGGATGGGGATAGTTTTGGAGTAGAATTTGGAGAAGTGGACATAAAAACTAAATCCAACTTTATTCCCGTCAGATCGGAGAAATTTATGGAGAATCTGTCTCATCTTTTTAATTTTTCAATTGAATTGCTTACGTATGTTTTTTTTAATAAACCATATATTAAGTATATTTTAATTCAAATAACATATAATACAACATAAATCTTAAAAATAAGGCACTTGAAAACTAAATCTTAATTTGAGTAAAATATCCAATTTCATCTTTATTATTTAACTGTTCTTATAACTTGAATTATAAAACTAATATAATGATTTGTACTTTTAATCATTTTGAGAAATGAGAATGTATAAATAAAATCCTAGCTCTATTCGTGGAGTCTTATTACAGCAGACAAATGATTTCTCTTCTTTTCCACGATTTAGGTGGCTTTGGAGATGGAAAAATAAATCCATATACGATAATGATAAAAGGAAAATTTAGAATGTGAATAGGAATATGTTTTTGCTGCATGATGACACGGTTCTGTCTCTAAGGGAGGCAAGTAAACCTGAGTATCCTCTGTCAAAATGCGGGGTTTTTAGCAAAGTGATTACTTACAGTTACACCTACACCCACGATTCTTGGAAGATGTTACGACTTAGCATTACAAGCAAGGAAATAGTATTTTGTACACCAAACCCGAGAATTTATTTTTGATTTTCTTCTAACAGAACCGAAGCTTGCTGTGTTTTAAACTTGTTCAGCTGATTATTTTTTGTCGTACTTTTTCACTTTTTGCCTTTTCTCTAAGCACAAAATGTTGATAATCCAAACCGGCATTTACATTTGGTTTGGTTAAATTAGAACTACAAAGACGATAAACGAAACTACTAGAGAAATAGTTAAGATGTAGAGACACCAACTTCAAAAGACGTGAGGTCAAGTCGAGTTTCTTAATGTGAGCGTTGTAAGACGCAATGGTATTAAAAATTGACTTCGCAATGTACGAAAACACAAAGAAACTAATTGTACCAAAACTTGACTTCCCGACGTACGAAAGTGCAAAGAAAGTGCTTCTATATTCACTTAACTTTCACCATACAAACAGGCCTTAAAATTGTTTAAGTCCCGTGAATATGGATTAACCCACAATTTTCACCATTTATGAGTAATGTTAAGGTTTTTGTTTTTGAAAGAGCAAAATTAGGTTTAGATCCATAAATTTGGGACATAATAGCAATCAAACTTAAAAATATAGTCCAATTATATATGTCCCTAAGATATTAAAAAAATTAAAAAAATTGTATTATTAAATGATATTAATATAATTTTTCTGTAATTTTCAACTCATTTTAATGTATTTTTTAATATTTTCTTTTAATTTCTCTTGTAATATTATTTAACATGATTCTTAAATGCATTAGTAAATTAATTTTTTTAGACATAAATCAGAAGTTTAAATAATAAATTTAATTTTTGTTAACTTAACCTTTATAATTAAGTATAAACACTTAAACGTAGTAAAAAATAATAAAAATATATTTATTATATTAAAGATACGAAATCATAATAAAATAAATAATTTACTTTTTTAATAAAATTTTCCTATTGTAAGACACTTAAATTTAATCTTAAAAATTAAAGTGAATAACATTATAATAAATAAAATTTTAAAATGTAAATATAATAAATAGTAAATTCATATTAAAATTATAAAATATAAAACATTAATAGTATTAAATATTAATTTTAGTAAAAAAATTGTTTGTTAATTTTTAATGATATACATGTACTGAAAATTGTATTGTAATAAATGAGAAAAAATGATTACCTTAGTAGGGTGGAAAAGGAAAGATGAAAAGCATGGATGTTAGCGTGAAGGGCGAGGCGAGGGTCCCACGACCACAAGAGAAGACAACACCCAAATCAACGTCAACGGTCAACGCCTCCCACTTCCCACGGAATCTCCGCCACCCACCACGTGTCGCCTTCTAATTGGACCTCTCTTCTCCTCTCCTATATCTACGCCCTCCTTTCATTCTCGTTTTCTCTCTTCTCCCTTCTCATTCATTTTCTCACACCTCCTTCCTCTTAGGTTCCTCTCTCTCTCATCTCCTTTTAGGGTTTCCATTGCATTTCTCTATTTTGTTCCATTCATTCAGATCTGCATAAATTCTTCTAGGTTTTTATTTTCTATTGATTTTCTGATTCCGATTTCGTCTCCTAGATTTGTTCTGTTTTCTCGCGAATAATAATAATGATAACATGAGCAATGGAACGGATCATCGAATTCTGAAATTGTGCGTGAATTTGAATTTTACTTTGCAGGATAAATTTAGCGGCGTAATTCGCGAAGCGTGAAAATGGCGGGAACGGATTCATCTCGGGAGGAGAGTGTTTACATGGCGAAGTTGGCAGAACAGGCGGAGAGGTACGAGGAGATGGTTGAGTTCATGGAGAAGGTTGTGAAGGCGGTGGATGTGGAGGAGTTGACAGTGGAGGAGAGGAATCTTCTCTCTGTGGCTTACAAGAATGTGATTGGGGCAAGGAGGGCTTCGTGGAGAATCATTTCCTCCATTGAGCAGAAGGAGGAGAGTAGAGGCAATGAGGAGCACGTGGGTGTTATAAAGGAGTATAGGGGAAAGATTGAGGCTGAACTAAGCAAGATCTGTGATGGGATTTTGAATCTTCTTGAGTCTCATCTTATCCCAGCCGCTACATCTTTTGAATCCAAAGTGTTTTACCTTAAGATGAAAGGTGATTATCACAGGTACCTTGCTGAGTTTAAAACTGGGGCAGAGAGAAAAGAAGCTGCTGAGAATACTTTGTTAGCTTACAAATCCGCTCAGGTATTTACTGCTCTTACAGCTTTTGTGGAATTATTGTGCGTAGTGGTTACTCTTATTACTTGCTTGTTTACTTGATTCAGGATATTGCCCTTGCTGACTTGCCCCCCACACACCCCATTAGGCTGGGTCTTGCACTCAACTTTTCTGTCTTCTATTATGAAATCCTTAACTCACCAGATCGTGCTTGTAATCTTGCCAAACAGGTATCATTACTTGCTAGCACTATACGTGATCGAAAGGGGTTTTTGGTTTGTTTGTTTTTAAATTGCTCTTTGATGTTGCTTGTATATCTCAATGTTCATCGATGAAGAAATTTTATTTGCGTGTTATAGAGGTTAAATCTCAGTATTTGTTGGCGGTTTGTTAGTGTAAACTGATTTTTTGTCGGTTGGTGAGGCTCAAGATCCTGTGTATTGCTTGACGCGACGGGAATCTGTTGTGTTGTGTGTCCACCACCCACTTTACATTGCTTTGAAAAGTATGCTATGAACAGAACAAGTGAAAATTGATTACAAGGTCACAATGAATAAAATTCATAGACTACTCTATTATATCAAATGCATTAATGTCATTTTTTGAAGAATATTGTAGGAATTTAGCTCTTTTTTAAGAGACTGAACTCAGCATTGTGATGCAGATTTCAATACTGTTCATTCCTTAGTCAGTTTATGTTTTTATTACTTGACAATATTGATGTCTTATGCAGTTTGCTTAGCACTTTCATGTTATGATGGATTTTTTTTTTTTTTAATTTCCCTATTGTGCTTTCTCTTCTCTGTATGATTTGTGAAAATTGCTTAACCATGGCAGGCATTTGATGAGGCAATATCCGAGCTTGACACGTTGGGTGAAGAGTCATACAAGGACAGCACATTGATCATGCAACTTCTCCGAGATAATCTGACTTTGTGGACATCAGACATCACGGTCTCTCTCTCTCTCTCTCTCTCTCTCTCTCGTTTTGTACATATGCTAAATATTTCTTGATTTTTGTTTAAATGTAGATATTTTGTTGTCTATTGTTAAGCCGTCATTAATAGTTCTTTAATGAGTAGAACATCAACAACTTAAACCTTCCTCTTGTAATAGCCAAGCTAGTTTCGTGGAAGTTTCGAAACAAAATTTTTATTAAACTTTTTGGTTGTACAATCTTGTAGTTGTCCAAATCCAAGGACTAATTACCCTTTTCTTTGGAGCATTAGTTATGTTTCTGCTGGTTCCCTGTATTAGTCGTAAGAGTTAAGCTTTGATCTTTTCTTAATGGACTAGTAAAGTTTTATCCTCATACTGACTGAAACAAAGACACAAGCAGTTGGTACATATTCTTGCTGAAGGTCTATTGCATTGCAGCTGCCTTATGCTTTTTGTTGCTGTTGGCAGCTTTTAGATCAGTAGAGTCTCTAGGAGCTGACTGCTTTCCATTCTTTTCTTTCAGTCTCCCATTGATTAGATATGATATTTGTTTTTCTATGTTTTTCTTAGTTGGATTTCCTTTAATATTTCAGGACGAAGCTGGAGATGAGATCAAGGAAACATCTAAGCAACAACCCGGCGATGGGCAGCAGTAATGTGGTAGTTGATGGGATATGTATTATTACCCTTAATATAGATCAATGTGGGTTGCCATAGTAGATTGTATTAATGGATTTCATGATTTCAAGTGCGTGTTGCGCTTGGGATTTATAATGTTTCAATGGATCGTTTGTGTTTTATTGACGAGAAGAATGTGGCTTTGGTGGTTAGATTTGCAAGTTTTTTATTGTTTAGTATGCGAATGCAAGCGTTCTTGTGAGATCCATTTGCATATAATGCTGTTTATGCTCCTGAATCCCATACAGAGCACAGCGGGAAATATTTTTATCACTTTCAACTATCTTAGTACGAAATATCTTTATCGGGTAGTTATATTTTTATTTCATGATGTATGTTTCTGAGTTATCCATTAAATTAAATTAATATTTTTTAATTAGTTGTTTATTCGAAGGGGATTTTTTAATTGATTTTAATTAGTCTTTAATTTTTTTTATCAACTTTAAACAAAATTAGAAATTTGTAAATCAAACTGTAAAGTACTTGTTATTTAATTGAATACATGTTATGAAGCTTTTTTTTGTTTTTGGAGAAATCATTATTTTCTAAAATAAGTTAAAGTTAAATATACAGGTAATGAAGAATAAAAATATATAGAGAGAGAACTAATATCTAGTGTTTATTTAAATTAAAATGTTCCATAAATTTATTTATTATTTTAAACGTCTTTTCACTCCTTTCGAAGAAGTAATGAAATCAAAACTCAGGTAAGTGATAAATAGTACCAGTGCTCCATCAGTAACTGATAAGTAATTTCAATAACTACATATTGCAAATAAATCTCTAAATTGATCATCAATTGCAAAATTTGTCCGCATATTGCATGCTAATTAGCCGATATTTTGCACATGTGATAATCCCGTTTCAGATAATAAATTGACCTTTAATCACACGTTTCCTTGGCACCTTTCTAACACGAGATTAGATTAAAGCAAAAGGATAACGGAAAAGTAGAATGAAGAATTGCTTATTTAACAAAGAAAACAATTTTATATTACACTTTACTGGAACAGTTTGACTGAACAATGATAGGAAGACTTTGTGGCTTAGCAGAAGCATGGGAAAACCTCATTTGGTCTAAATATAATAAAACGAATCTGGATGAAGTCCTCCAAATGTGTTACCGAAAGAGAAACAACACACATTAGAAGAAATGAAACAGGTGATGATCTTTAAGAGTAGGGAAAGGCCCAGGTAGGCCCAAGCCCACGGCACTAAAAAACGCGTTGGTTCCAATATCCATTTCCTTACCCTATTCAATTCCGCACCGAGCAATGGTCTCGCCGTGAAATGGTATGCTTCTGCATTTACTGAGACTAAGACGGAGAGTGATAGCAACTGCATCAACTAAAATATCTTCTTCTTCTTCTTCTTCTTACTCTTCAATCACACTCTCACTATCTTCAATTCCAATGGCCGCCACCGAAGACTCCCTCCGCAAAGCCCTCGCCGACAAGCAATCCGCCGTCGAAGCCCAAGGCAACGCCGTCCGCGCCCTCAAAGCAGCCGCCGCCCCCAAGCCCGAAGTCGAAGCCGCCATCGAATCCCTCAATGCCCTCAAACTGGAAAAATCCTCCATCGAACGCTCCCTCCACTCGCTCCTGGCCGGCTCCGGTGCCGACACCCGCGAAGCCTTCCGTCAAGCCGTCGTGAACACCCTGGAACGGCGGCTCTTCTACATCCCATCCTTCAAGATCTACCGCGGCGTGGCCGGGCTCTTCGACTACGGCCCTCCCGGTTGCTCCGTGAAATCGAACGTGCTCTCATTCTGGCGGCACCACTTCGTCTTGGAAGAGAACATGCTGGAAGTTGATTGCCCCTGCGTCACCCCCGAAATCGTCCTCAAAGCCTCCGGTCACGTGGACAAGTTCACCGATCTCATGGTGAAGGACCTCAAAACCGGCACGTGCTACCGCGCCGATCACTTGCTCAAAGACTTCTGCAACGAGAAGCTCCAACGTGACCTTACCCTTTCTTCTGAGAAAGCCTCTGAACTGAAGCACGTGCTTGCCACCTTGGATGACCTCTCTGCGGAAGAGCTTGGTGCTAAGATTAAGGAGTATGGAATCATTGCACCTGAAACGAAGAACCCTCTCTCTGATCCTTACCCTTTCAATTTGATGTTTCAAACTTCCATTGGTCCCTCTGGGCTGAGCCCAGGCTTCATGCGACCCGAAACGGCGCAGGGCATTTTTGTCAATTTTAAGGACTTGTATTATTACAATGGCAACAAGTTACCCTTCGCTGCTGCGCAGATTGGACAGGCTTTTAGGAATGAGGTTCGTTTCTTTTTAACTTTTGGTTGTTGTGGTTTTTTCCATGTTGAATTTGAGTTTCAATTTCGATTTCATTTGGGTTTTTAGATATCTCCACGGCAAGGGCTTCTCAGAGTTAGGGAATTCACTCTGGCGGAAATTGAGCATTTCGTAGACCCGGAAGATAAGTCGCATCCCAAGTACCCTGATGTTGCTGACTTGGAGTTCTTGATGTTTCCCAGGGAGGAGCAAATGACAGGTCAGTCTGCTAAGAAGATTCGTCTTGGTGATGCTGTTTCCAAGGTTGGTTTTGAGTTGAAGAGCTTTTGATGGTTTTGAGATTGCTTCTTATTGTATGATGTGTTGTGATTTATTTTTTTCTGGTGGTGGTTAGGGAACTGTGAATAATGAGACTCTTGGTTATTTCATTGGGAGAGTGTATCTTTTCTTGACGCGTCTCGGTATAGACAAGGATCGCTTGAGATTTAGGCAACATCTTGCCAATGAGATGGCTCATTATGCTGCTGACTGTTGGGATGCTGAGATTGAGTGCTCCTATGGCTGGATTGAGTGTGTTGGTATTGCAGATAGGTCTGCATATGATTTGCGTGCTCACTCGGTAAGCATGTTAATTTGCTTTAAATAATGTATTCCTTGTTGTATGTTGTGGCTTTTGATAAACCTAGACATCGCAATTATTCTAATGGATGAACTGTTCTTTAAGTGTCTGGAGGATAACATGCATTTGACTTGACTAAAAAGTACTGTTTTCTCTTGAAATCAAATTACATTGAAGTTGAGGAATGGCTGTATCTCAAAGGGGGTAAAAAACTAAAATGTATTTTATGGTGTCCAAACAACTAAGGAAATTCTCTTATAATTTGAGGTGTTCTGCATTCTCATAGTGCCTGTATCTGTATTTAATATTGCAGGAGAAAAGCGGTGTTCCGCTAGTGGCTCATGAAAAATTTTCAGAACCCAAGGAAGTGGAGGTACTGTTTAATTCTAAAGGTGTTGATTTATTTATGGATATAAATGACTGAATCCTGCAAATTCATGCACAGTCATCAAAAATCTTAAGACATTATTGATTGACTTGGTTTGCACATTGTTTCAGAAATTGGTTATAACTCCAGTAAAGAAAGAGTTGGGTCTAGCATTCAAGGGGAATCAAAGGATGGTGGTTGAAGCACTTGAGGTAGTTGATGTTGTAATTTTTTTGGTGTCTAGTACCATGACTCTTTGTCATGAGTGCTTGCATTACTTTTGACACGGAATCTTACCTGGCAGGCAATGCATGAGAAAGAAGCTTTGGACATGAAAGCTGCTCTGGAATCAAAAGGGGAGGTGGAGTTTGAAGTGTGCACACTTGGGAAGACTGTTACTATTAAGAAGAGTATGGTGACCATTCAAAAGGAGAAAAAGAAAGAACACCAGCGTGTTTTTACACCATCTGTGATTGAACCATCTTTTGGAATTGGGCGGATAATTTATTGTCTCTTTGAGCACACATTCTACATGAGGCCAAGTAAAGCTGGGGATGAACAGTTAAATGTATTTCGCTTCCCTGCACTTGTAGCTCCTATTAAGTGCACAGTTTTCCCTCTGGTTCAGAATCAGAAGTATGAAGAGGTTGCTAAATTAATTTCCAAGTCATTGACTGCTGCTGGAATTTCACATAAGATTGACATTACAGGTATGTGGATATAATATAAGTTCCCATTAATATATACTTACAGATAATGTTAATTAAAATGTTAGAGGTTTACACTGAATGAATGCATGAATACTTGTTAAAAAAAATTGTATTTCCAAAGTAGAAATTCAGCCTGTGGGATGAGGATCTGAGCATCCTCTTCTTAAAGGCTGTATTATTGTTCTTATTACATGTCAATTTGTCTTTATTTAATGTCAACATCTTTTGGTAGAATGGGTATATAAATCTTTGAAACTGCATTGATGAGAACAATTTTCCTTTAAAACCACATCCTGGGAGGGTCGAGTGCAGATGTGGTTTAGGCACCTGTTCTTGGAATATGCCTTTGGCTAGGTGCAAATATGGTCTTTTGGCTCTTCTATATATATATATAATTGACTAAAGGGAAAAAGGTTAAACTCCCTTCTAAGGTTGTTAATGTGTCTTACATTCACAAGTTTGTTTTAGGGATGGATTAATTCATCCCAGTTTATTTGTGTTAATACCTAAAGACTAATGTTATATTTTGTCTTATAAAAATGTTAACAGGTACGTCGATAGGAAAACGGTATGCAAGAACAGATGAACTTGGTGTTCCCTTTGCTATCACCGTAGATTCAACATCATCAGTGACTATTCGGGAAAGGGACAGCAAGGATCAAGTGCGTGTTGATGTGGAAAAAGCAGCTTCTGTTGTTAGGGAGGTAGCGGAAGGCCAGAGGACATGGGAAGATGTGTGGTCAACTTTTCCCCATCATTCCTCTACAGCTGCTGATGATTGAATTTTAAGCTAGTCGCCATCTGGGTTGACCTATCATAGTTTTGAGTTCTCCTGTTGCAAAATTTTTGTGATGTTTTTTGAACAATGAATTGAACTACAGGGATATTACTAAGTATCAATTAGATACATATTTCTTTTTGTTTAAATTAAGTTTCTGCAACATATGGGCTGAATGACACACGGTTTTACTGTTAAACATTAGTCATAGATATATGTTATTTGACTAGTTTCTTGTTTGTCAATACTCAATGGCTTCTTGAGGTTTTGTCATGCGGTTGGAACTTACTGCCTCAGTGTTAGGGGAGTCTCAACGAATCTGAAAATTACTCGATAATATTTTTGTTTGCTTTATCTGCTGAGGATTTTAGGCCCCGTGGTTTAACCCCGAAAAGAATATGTTTTGCATGAGTTATGTCTGGAATTGATCTCTTGTGGCAAGCCAGTGATTTTATCCTAATGCTGATAGAATTTCAAGCTTAGTAGTGTTCATATCTTGCACTTCAAAAGCTACAACTTACATTGTGCCACGCTAGTGATTTGTCCGAACAGATTTTAAGGACCTAAGCGTGGTAATAAATTTTTCGTTATTTTCTTAAATGATGGGTTAGGATGAACTCTAATTGAATAAAATGCTTTTGTAGATAAGATAGTAATCACTGTTGCTGACTATAAATTAAAATTAGGAATATCTGGATACATCTTATGGGGAAAAAAAATTCCTTTTCAAAGGTGGTGGTTCTTCATTCGATCCCTAACATGTTATCTTAAATTACGTGTGCAATTGGAAAATTGTCCTTTGGCATGATGCACAGGATTCGTTACTGTATCCTTCCATCCTTTCGTTAGGACTTGGGATTGGGATTGGAGTTGTGAATGCCAACCATTTAAAATACTTTTCAACCACAAGAAGGCCCATAAAGATTTATCTCTTAAAAACATTCTGCGTCCACGTTGTAGCCCAAAATGATTCGTTTCCCACTTCAAAGTCACTAAAACCCCAATATGCACTTTATCTTTCCGCATTTTCTTTCTTTTCTTGGTCGACGACATCTTTCGTATTTTCATACTTGCTTTATTATTCGTAGTGGAATACTCATCATTATATTGAATTTTGTTAGTCAAAGAAATATAATAAAATTAAGAGTACAAATCGAAGTGAAAATGCGAAAGCTGGATTACGCAACCACTTGAATTTTGACTTGCCAAGTTACTTTTCGAGATTACTCAATTTCCGCTTTAATCATAAAAGTTAACTTTAACCTGTTTTTTGGTTACAAAGAGAAAGCGGGCATTCTTCGGTCCAGGCATTTGGAAATGAAATTATGTTGAGTGTTCACATGCAATAAAGAAATTGGCATTTCTAGGCTAATAGTAATAATAAATATAAAAAGTAATAATTGTACATCGGTATCGTGTCAAATGCTTACTCCTCTTGAAATCTATCATTTTAATATCGCAGTCGTACTATAGACAAAAGCTGCTTCATATATAGAGGAACATGATTAGAGGAATGATTAGAGAAACACAATATATGCCATCAAGAAACGTAGCTACTCTCTAAATATATATCCATCATCCATGCAGGAGACGCCATCAAGAGATTAGAGGAACATGATTCACGCTCGTGAACAAAATGACTAGCTCTCCAAAACTCTTTTAATATATCAGCGATCACCACGTACGTGGTAACCTTTACTTTCAGACTTAGTGAAACAGAAAATGTGTCACCGTCTTACTGTATAGAATCTTTATCCGTCAGCATATTTATCTCCTCCTTTCAACTGCCAACTCCAATCAACTTCAGCTGTGATAGGAAGTTGCAGTCAGATTACATTGTCACCATGTGAATAATATGGAATTGCAAGTAAATCCCTAGAGCTTAAAATACCATCATTCAAAATTAATATTAAAAGAGCTAGATTTACGGTAGAAACTATGTTGAAAGTTACAACCAGACTAGAGTAGGAGATATAAATTACGATGTTATTGTGAGGATTTCCCCAATAAAATCCTTGGAGGAAAATAGGGAAAACATTGCAAGCCGCAAGGATATAAATCATCAATGCATGCATGCCCATCCATTCCATAACCATAGTCATTCGACTATATCCCCATACATCAACCTGAAAGTGACGGGGAAAAAAGTAATTCATCCAGAAGATGGTTAAAAATGATGTTATCTTTAACAAATTCAATGATGACTAATAATTGATAATTATGAAAAACGATGCATATTAAATCAATACCAGCATATAGAAGCAAGGTAACTTGATTCTATACATTGCTAAAGTAGAAGAGAAAACTAAAAGAGAACAGTTTGAAAGCTCTTTTATAAAGCGAGAAACTAAATATCTAACCATCAAGTATATTGCGACAAAGAGGATGCCTGCAGCACCAGCAGTGACACACATATAACTGAACGAGTATAGAACCTTATTTATGTGCATTCCTAAAAGAAAAACAACGTTAATATTTACAAAGATATAAATGTCAGAAGCATAATGGTCGTGTTTAAGAAATAGGTAAAAAGAAATAATTACCAAACAAGTCCAACACAAGGCCAAAAACTATAAGACAAGAGGTTGGAATCATCCAGTATATGACTCTAACTCTGTGATCCTGCATGTAGCAATAAGGAAACAACTATGATAAATTGATACTTAAACTACAAGTAAAAGATAATAAACACAAAAGTACAGGGATTACCTTAAAATGGACAATAATATGTCCGTAGTGCAAGCCCACCAGGCAGGTAACAATAGCCATCACTGAACTATAGTTCCACAAAACACAAAATTAGGGGATAAAGAAAAGAAGTCATGTTTTATAAAGTTCTCTGAAGTTGACAATGAGGAATAAGAAATAATATCCCTGCCCCTGTCAAATTATATTACAAAATGACCCTTTTGTGAATCGTGACTGAGGTGTCAAAATGCCAACTCTTGCCATCCCAAATCTCATCAAATTTCATAGTTTTGATCCTCCTCATTTCTATTGAAACATAATTGTATTTGTGGAGAGAAAAAGACACGAACAACTCATGCACGATCCATGCAAAAAAATAATATTTTCTATATGGTACTGCATACATGCCTAAAATTATTCACATAGAACAATAGAATTAGAAAATATATATTAATCATAAAAAAGGTCAAGAATTTAGAGTATGTTGTTTGTTTGTATTTTAAAAAAGAGACAAACATACTATAAATTTCTCATGTTCAAGAACTTTTCATGTTTTTGGACTCTGGAGCATAAAGTTGAGTTTTAAGTTCATTTCAATGGCCCTTCTTAACAATTGTGGGTTATAAATTTCAATACATTTCTAACCTATATTGGTGTTGCTCAAATGGCAAAAAAATCAAATTAATAATTTCACAATCAAATATCAGTCACTTTCTTCCATTATACTTCCCTTATTGAGAATCACATTTTAAAAAACAAATATGATACAGTGAACTCACCTTAAGAGTCCTTCAGGATCAAAAGGGGCCTGACACCAAGCAGGAGCATCAGGAGGCAACGGTCCATAGTCAGGGGAATTAATACTACACTCCTATTGATAATAATAATTATAAAAGAAAAATAGGTAATATAATTAGAAAAATGAAAAGCAACAAGAACTACCAAATTGAGTCAGAACATCTAAGAATTGAGAGGATCATACAGGCATCCGTGCATATATTGGTCTACTGTACAGGTGCTGTATACCCAATATCTTACGATCAATCATACCAATAGCATTACAGGCTGGTCCAGTGTCAGCCCTTACTCCACATTTAACCTAGCAAATGTGTAAATAAATACATAAATACCGTTTTAAAGCAATATCAGAAGTTAAACTATTCACAAAATGACGTTAAACCTCCAAATAAAATGAGAAAAAAACGAAGACATCAATACTCACTGAAAATATCTTTGGCACTGAAGAAGGATCTGTTGGGATTTGATACTCCCAATCAGGAACGTACAATCCATATAGCAAGCAAAGATAAAGGACAGAAAGAAACAAAGCCACAGCCCTGTCACAGTCAAACAGATTAACAAGGCATGGCCATGGTGGGAAAGAGAGAAATAAATTATAAATCTACATATAAACATCATTTGAAAACCCCTCTCGATCGTTTATAAAATTCAAAAGGAAAAACTGGTAATTTCAGTACAGTAAAAGGTTGTAGCTTCACCAAATGTCAAATAAGAAACTAATAGTCTAGAGGAAAACTAAGCTTACCACTGGTATCGATACTTCATTAACAGGGATGGACCTGAATTAACAGTATCATCACTCTTGAGCCAAATTTCACACACTGCTGTAATCAAATACGCGACAGCAATTCTCTGACATCCAATTAAGAAAATATGGAATGATAATTATAATACAAGAAAGAAGACAAGTATAAGTCAAGATCTTCACCTCATTTCCATAACCCAAAAACTAAAATTTAACATGCAAAAAATTAGAGAGTTAACAGTTAAATTTTGTTTTTAACTTGCATTCAAACTTCTTTGTGAGGACAAAAAAGTTCCAGCAGTCATTTCATGTTTTTCTTTTACAACTTCCCACAAAGAGAGGTAGAGAAAAACAAATGAAAATGCATACCTGTAGTATTCCCATCCATCTTATTTGTTTCATATCCACTCCATATGTCAGATCATTTAGGCGGTGGAAGTAACCTCCTGTGTGGAAGGTCAATTTTAGACATTCAAAAAGAGAAATTTATAAAAAATGCAAGCTTCCAACATTTTTACATACAAATTATATAACCGCTATCTTGTGTTTAACATTTGATCTTTTCAGCTTGACAATTGTTGAAAAGAACAAACACTAACAAAGGTAAAAATTTAGCCAATAATTGGCAACAACCAAAGCCAAAGATTCAGTTGATCACCTTGAAGAAAAAGGCCTAACACAAGAAGCTTAAGAGCTCTTAAAATTGCTTTTCTAGTTGCAACTACTCTGCAAGACAGTTTCTGTTGAAGAAAAAGATTAGTTAGTATAAATGGACCATTTGTCATTAAAGTTCAACTAGATTGAAGAATTGCAAGAAACTACATTATTAATCATAATCATCACATTTTTTTATAAACTATACAACAGTTTCAACTGAATACCTTGTATGTGAGGGCAAGCGAGACACCAACAATAAAAAGGAAAAAGGGCATAACATAATCTGCTAGTGTTAAACCATTCCATGGGGAATGATTGAGCGCTGGAATGATTCCACCAGCATCATCAACCAATATCATCAGCTGCATCAAGATTGATAAATTCATTAAAAAAGAACAGGAAAAAGAATCTGAGTTTGTAATAAAAACTTTCCATTTTGCCTAAAAATGAAACATCAAAGGTGCAGAAGGTGCCCCATTTGTTTGATGCTGAAGATTATCGAATCATTAGATTAATCTTATTATTTGGACTGTTGCAACTTCATCTTCTTCATCAACAATAGGCCAGTGGTTTGGTTAAGCTTTGCAGCAAATGGTATAATTTACACTATCTCATGTGGGCACCAACCATTATTTAAGGTTAATAAGACAGCTTATCTTATCCAGTCCAATTTTATTAGGGCACCAAACAAAATCTAAATCTAAAACCATTCCACATGGGAAATGATTGTTTAGTAATATCACAAGCTGCATAAAATTGACAGAAGTATACACTAAAGAAATAAAATTTAGGTATTTAGACTACTTATTCAATTGTGCATCTTTGCCAACAAAATATGATAAGCATGTAACATCTAACATGTTAAAATGATCATGGGTAGGATGCTATTTTCTAAAGAGAATGGTAAGCATTGCTTTTCTTTGTCATCTCCAATTGATAAAGTAATACAAAAGTAAGTTATAGTGGTGACCAGTCGGTTAGCCATTACATCTAACCAACTGCACGTTATGCCACCACTTTAATTAGCAATCTAATATTAATATATAAACTTGTTAATTTATTTTAAGACTAAGATAATCAATAGGCAATTTCAGATTAACCTAATCCAGTTAGAATAATTTAAATGGAAGAAAACTACTGAATCATGGTTCGAAAGAGGTGAAAGTGAGACTGGATCAGAACTGATAGTGCAAAAACTGATGTTTATTGCGTAATGGCTTTAGGGTAAAAGGTAAAAACATTATCATTATGAGCGAATATATTATACTTGTATAAGATAATTGTGATTTCTTTCGTTAATTATGATCGAAGGGTAAAGGAAGTTGAGAGATAAAAGAAAAGAAGCGCAAGTATGCTCGATTTATATGGCCTGTAAACAAGTACTTTTACTTTCGTTTAGCAATCAGGTTGTTATTAGGAGAATTACCTTATTTATTTTAATTAAACATGAATATTTCATACTTTTGTGGTAATTTTTCTTATTAAACATACCAATTTCAAATTTTGAATTGTATACAAACAAAAGTAATTTATTCAGGGAAGGAAACCAAATAATAAGAGACGGGTAACAGACACGAAAGTACTTAATCGCTTGGGAGTTGGGATATGTCCCTTCTTGATATAGATTAAAAGACCAGAGATACATTATTGATTTCTCAAATCAATAATTGCAAAAACTATTATTTTTCTTAACGTACCAGGAAAAAAAACAGACGAAATTGATTTTTGAATGAAAAACGCATTTAGAAAAATAATATACAATAATAACGAGAAAAGTAGATAGACAGTGTGAATTTAAAGAACAATTCATGGCCCTTAAAAAATACTAGGAACTATTTATTTTAATTAAAAGTAAGTGTGTGTGTGTGTGTATATATATATATATATATATTATAATCAGAGAATATTGTGAAATTTTATTGAAAGGACAAGCAGTCATAGTGCTGTTTAAATGGACGACTCTCCACAAAACTAAAGAGATAAATAAAAAATATATATAACTGAAACGGAGGGTGTAAGTAAAAAGAAATAATTATAGTGAGAAAGCAAATAAAAAATTAATTTAATATGTGAGAAAAGTATATAAAGAATGTGAAGAAAAGAAGAATAAATACTCGGAAACTTTTTTCTTTGTTAAATAAAAAAATATTTTTCTATTAAAAGTAAGAGATATATTGTAACCCGAGAATATAGAGGAAATCAATCGAAACGGGGAAGTAGCCGTAGTGCTGTAATATGGACGGCTTTCCGAACGACAAGAGATAGATGAGTAACAAACTATATCTCTAAAAAAGGGGGGAACAATGGATGGTAACACCCAACGCCAAACGCTATTCTTTTCTTCAAAGTAAAGCAATATTACTTTAACACGTGCACGCTCTTTGGAAGTTTAGATTCTCTCAAGAGTCAAATTGGGATTGCAAATCAAAACCAGAAAAATCCCAAGAATCTCTCCCTTTAACTCTTCCCCCTAATCAATCAATCTTCCTTTGTTCCATTCACCATTTAACATTTAATTAAAACGACACGCCGGTGAGGTGAGTCACCATTCACGACTCATGAGTCAGTGGTGCGCATTGCGCATTTACAATCATTTAGTTTAACGTCGTTACTTTTTGGACTACCCCCGAGTCCAAACCAAGTCCAACGGAAACGAAACGACGTCGTTTGGTTCTTCCGAAAATGCAAGGAAGGAAGCAACGTTACTATTAATAAATCCCAATTAATATGACAGGTTAACAGCTAAAAAAATTCACTTTACCTTTATTAGACAAAATAATAATTTATTTTTATTTTTAAGAAATGAACAAAAAAAAAAAGAGAAGAAGAGAGAGATTACCGCCACGGTGAGACCCCGAAAAACGTCGAGTGAAACAAGACGCTGAGATTTTGTTGGAAGTTGAGGTTGGTGCGTGGAAGTTGAAGTGGAAGAGGAAGAGGAAGAGCGTTCCTCAATCTTGTTGTTATTGTTGTTGTGAATGTGAAGCCTTGTGGTTTCGTCATTGGTGAAAACAGTAGCAGATCTTGATTCAGAGATCTGGTTGTGGTGCAGTGCCATCTCCACATCTTCATCATTTTCATCATCATAGTTCTTAATAGCCTCGTAACTCGCCATCTCTCAAAATTAATAACAATGCCTTCTACTCCCTCGTCTCTCTTCTCACCATCTACCTTTCCATCAATTTATAAAGAAAAAAATAATGTTAATATCAACGACAATAACAACAACAACAATGATTATTAGATTAAATCCCTCTTTCTGATGAACAACGAATAAAGAAAGGACTCCTCTTACTTGAAGAAGCAATGCAATGGGAACAACCTGCTACTGTTTCTTGAACTTGTTCTTTGGCTTCTTTCCCTTCTTCTCTGCTTTTATAGGCGATTTGGCGAAGGAGATGCCACACACAACACAAACATTTTTTTTTTATATTTTGCCTCTCCTTTCCTATATTTATTATTTTTTTAGGCCCCAAAAAAAGCTTCCTCGGATAAGATTATATATCTAAAAAAGATTATTGAAAATTTACGATTGCACTTAATTTCCTCCCATTTTTATTTCAAAAATAGTATATTATAATTGATATTTATGATTTTGTTGATTGATGTGCGTGCCATTAACGACGATCGTTCCTCCAATACGTTACCACGCTCTTCTTGTTACCACCCGCATACCCCAAGGCCAGTCGTTATCCCAAAATATATAGTTATAATTAACGAATTAATCGCTTTTAAAAAATATATTGGTTTAACTTTTCTGAATTCATCTTTTTAATATATTACCATTTTAATTAAATAATAAATATTTAAATTTCACAAAATATTAATTGTATTCTTTTCTATTTAATATTTCAGTTTTTTAATGCAAGTTAAAGTACACGTCATAAAAAATTCATAAAAATTAGTTATTAATAAATAATATATTTTATTTTTTAATACTATTGATACATTAAATCATATTTATTTAAAAATTTAACATTTTATATAAATTTTATTAACCAGTGCCGTTAACATATTAGTTAAAGAATTAAGACTACCATAAAAAATTTAAAATTACAAAAATATTATTGAAAATTTGCCTTTCATTATTTTTTATTTTCAATTTTAAACTAATATCTTGTATTAAAATAATAATTAGAATCTGTGATTTTATATTGAGCATGGAAATACTATTAAAATATTTTAAACAAATTCAGCAAAACTCTTAATTCCGGAGACCCTTGGGCATTGTTTTCGGCCACTGAGACTTTTGAATTTTGAGTTCGTTAAATCGGAAACCAATAAATTATTTTTGCGGATAATTTAGTCAATTTGGGTCAAAATATATTCAGCCTTCAATTTTGATAATTTAATTATATTATTTAATTTTTTTCCTTTTTTTAACAAATATTTTAGATAAATATGTTCGAGAGAAAATCATACACTAAATCTGAATGTGTCTTTACAAAATAAAAATCTATTTCAATGCCTCTAATCACATGTAAGCAATATACAACTCTAGTTATAAGTGTTGAATGCCACGAGCAAAAGTGACTTGAGAATATTATAAATAAAATCATACTCTTGTAAATACACAATAACATTTACAAATTGAATAACAAAATAAGTTAAAAACATTGAATAAAAATGGAAGGAGATGTAAAAAAATTACTGTAATTTAAATATACATTGTTATGTTAACAAAAAAATGATTGACTATTATAATATTTATTTCAAAATTATATTTATCGCATATTACAATTGTTTAATAATATAAAAAGTAACCTTTAACAGTATATGAAAATTAAATTGATAAAAAAAGTTTGAAAAAATATTAACCTTGATGTTGAAAACTGCCTGCTGGAAATTAAGGTTAGCCTTGGGAATCCGTACCTCAAGTTGCTTCTTTTTAACCAGAAATAAATTGATCAATAATAAGAAACATGATCTTCAATGGCTGAAAGGACCTTACAGGAAAATTTCCTCACCAACTACAATACAGTATTCGAAATACCTCGTGTTTGTTCATGACCGGAGTTAATCAATTTTCAAAAATTAATTAGTTTTTAAGGCATAATTCATTGCCCAATGACTATACACACTTATACCTTTGATCATTAACTACCATGCCAAACTTTCATAAACTGTTCATTTATAATGTATTTATTTATCTTGCAATATAATTATTTATTTTCACTGCAATTGCAACATATCATGCTTGATTTAAACACCAACTAAGCATTTTTGGTTTCTCAACACTTGTTAATCTAATTATATATCTCTTGTTTTTAAATGAGTAAATTTGTTTTTTGAATCATTTTTTCTCTTAAAAACTTTTAATTCTCATTTTTATATTTAATTTTTTAAAACAAAATCTATTAAATTGTTATAAGCACTCTTGCATTCAAATTTACTAATTAAATATCATATTTCGCTTAAAAGAAATATTTTCTTCAGTTTCTAATTTCATACCTTACAAAATAATGTTATTAAATTTCTACTCAGGTTACTACGAGTCACTTTATTTAAGTATATAAGATCCGTCATACAAAAGCAACAATATAAAAACAAACGAAGATATAAACCATGGGATTTAAGTGAGATAGATGAAGTGGTATCATAAATACTTCGACTGTTATTTGTGATAAAAGGGTATCACTCTGACTTAAAAGAAAAAAAAAATTACACCATAATTATAAGACCTATAATGTTGTTTGAAACAGAGTGTAGTGTGGCTAAAAATTAACAAGATAATAAAATTTATATAATAGATATGAAAATGTGGCATAGATGAACACACTAAACAAAGTAAGATTGTAAATGAATGCATTATAGAAAAGTTTGAAATAATACATATATATAATAAAAGAAAGTGTTAACAATTATATACGCGTGAAAAAGACTTACAAGAGCCGCAGTAAGGATACAACAACAAACTGAGAATATAATTTGACAACCATTAAAAACTATTTAAAACTTTATATATATACAGGTAGAATATTACGTCTAAAAATTTTTATACTTAATTTAAATTTTTTATTTAATTTAAATCTAACAATTAATAAAATAATAAATTATAATTTGTTAGATTTAAATTAAATAAAAGACTTAAATTAGATATAAGAGTTTTTAAACTTACAATATTAAAATTTTTTTCATATATATGATGTCATTCACTGTACATGAGTAACCCTTTTTAACGGAAAAAAAACCTTGACTGTTATGTTGTAGTTGAGGAAGGAGAACTCGAGATTAACCCTTACCCCTTTTCGTCAACCCATTATTATATTTAGTGTATACTGTTGTTATATTAACACTATAATGCGAAAAAAAAAATCCATGCATCAACAGTTGTTTAGTATGTCTTCACTGGCATAATGTTTTTTTCTTAACTATAAAAATTAAACTATTGATATAAATATTGTGACTTTGTATTGAGAGTATGATATATCATACTATTATTAATATGGTAATATATATATATATATATATATATATATATATCGATTTTCTATATAATTAACTTGTCCGTGCTGTATTGTAAATGTAAATATTAGGCAAAGTCTATGAAAAATTGGCAGGGACAAATTTAATAATTAATCGGTGATATTTTTTTTGAGTGTTTTATTTAAAAAACAGACAAATTAGGTAATAAGGTAATACTTTATGGTAAATTATATATGTAGTAACACAGCCATAAAAGAATTATGGGAAAAGTAAATATTTATTAATGATTTAAAGTATACATTAGCACAAAAACTTCATTATCAAATTATAAACAGAAAAATTGCAGAAGTTAAGGCAGGTTTGATTTTTTAAAATATGATAACGACTGAGAGAGGATATATTGTGATTTATTTTGGTTATGTTTTACCTACTCCTTTGGCCACTATTAAACTAACAGTTGGAAACTACATAGATTCTGGACAGGTTGCTTTATAAATCAGTCGGTTTGTATGCAGGGTTGCTTTATATCCCAGTTGCGATTGCTTTTATATATATAAAACTCTGATTCTTTTAAGATTAATTAATTCAAACTATTTAAAATTTTGTTCATATCAAATTTTATTGTATAATTTTATACACGTATTAAATAAATTGAAATTAAGAAAGAAAAAAAAACCAAGTTAAAGCAGTTTAATAATAAATGAGCAGCTACAACAACTACCTTAACGATCATTGGTTTAGGTTTGTCCCGTTTGAGACACAAAAATTGTGCACATCACTGACCACAAAAAGGGGGAAAGATAATTGAAATTAACAGAGTTGCATGCGTTGTTCATGCCATTTCCATTATGCTATGCGTGTATGCCATGGGCGGTGCAGCCTCGTCATGCTTATCTATAACCTATGCCCAATCATCTTATCTCGGGTGGTGAAGTTAGCAAAAGAAAAAAAAATGAAAATAATTGTAATTTTAATTTTAATTGAATTTAGAAAACGTCCTCATTTTTTGGCTTTTCCAAAATGTTAATTTCATTTTGTAACATACTTGATGTTTGGTGCTGTCACAGAATATAAATTAATGAATACTTACTTAACAAATTAGGTATAGTATCCAAAACAAAATTAGGTATTTCACCAAAAAGTTAGCAATTACAAACCTCGAAGTGGTTGTCCTAATTGGAGCTTCGTAGATTAATCGTGACGAAATAGTGAAGTACACCTGCTTACACTTCTGCGGCTATGAGACATTGGCATGTCAAAATGGCATTTAAATATATTAGTGTATATCAAATTGCTGTATGATACATGCACAATGTAATTGTTTTCAAAGCTAAATTGAATTATGTCATTGTTGCTTTCAGAGAATTTAACCAATTTTTAAAATGTGTATTTAAAGATGTACAATAAAAAATTAGATTTTATGATGTTCTATAGTTTTTAACAAGAATGTATTATATATTTTTTAACAGATAGTTATCCTATCCATTATAAGTAGAAATTAACCGTTAAGTCTGGGTACAATGCCAACCCTCCCTACAATCTAATTATCTAAAGAGAGTTTTGAGCTTTTAAAAGAATAAAACGTGTTAAATGTAAAGAGAGTTTTGACCTTTTCGTGATAGATCCAGTCAACACTGCTATTTTACATAAGTCAAATAAAAGTCTTTAGAAACTTGATTTGTGAGAACCGATGTTTGTTTGCTTTATTTTATTTAAATTTTTGGACAGAGTTTATGCAAACAAGCAATTTATAAAAACAAATATTTTTTTTTGAATAAGTACTTAATTTTGTGGGTAAATATTATTATTTTTTTTCGGTTGATAATAAAAAGTATTACACAAGTCACAAAAATATAATTTAATATTTTTATCATTTTAATATGTTTTTATATATTTTTTTTGTTTATGATAAATATATATTTAACCATGATAATAATATGAAATTTGATCATAATAGTGGTATGAATAAGGTAAGGTAAGGTAAAGTGGGAGAGGCGTGTTGGTGAGGGAAAATGGGGCGGTGGTGGTGGAAAGTTGCGGCGTTGGTGGCGATAGTGGCAGTGTGGAGAGGGTGGCAGGGACAGGGATGGGAGAAGGATTCTATGCTCAATTTTCTGAGTGATTGGTCTCAGAAATTAGGGATTTGGGCGATTCCTCTTTATGTCTCTCTCCACACTCTCTCCATCGCTCTCTGTTTACCCTCTGCCATTTTCTTCGAAACCGCTGCTCCTCTTCTTTTCGGTTTCATCCCTTCCGTTTTCTGCGTCTTCTCCGCCAAAATCCTCGCCGCCTCTCTCTCCTTCAACATCGGCAGGTCTCTCTCTCTCTCTCTCTCCATTTTCAATTTTTCTTATCGCAGATCTAATTTTAATTCGTTATGATACTAGATTTGTTCTTCTAGAGATGATGCTTGTACCTTGTTAATTACTGATTAGGGAACTATTAATTGATGGATTAGTTTTAGTTACTGCTAAATGTGTTGGCACCTTTGTTGAAAATGAAACTTGATTTGTAATGTATTTGGTTAGAGTTAGAGCATTTTGGAGATGACAACTTGCTTGATTTGTCATGTATTTGAGGAGGCAGAGGGAATAAGGAATTGGAATTCTCTTTTTCGGTTTGTCATTAATCTTGTTGAGCAAGATTGCTCAGACAAACTTTATTGGAATTTCAACGTCCTATTGTATTTGGAAAATAACTTTAGGGTCATTGTCTGTTTGGCGTTTTCTTGTTTATGTCAGGGTTTCCACCTTTTCCTGGCCATCTCTCGTACAAATATTCGAAGGGATTTGAGGGTGTTTTTGTGATGACTCTCTGTTTGTTTTTATTTTTGTGTTTTGTTTGCAGAGGTTATATTCTTCTGTTTGGTCTCTCTGATTGTTTTTCTCTTTGCATTTCTATAAAACTTCTCCCTTTTAAAAATGAGTCGGAATAATTGTAGGCATTTGATAACCTGTGCCATCATGTTAAAGAATGATATGCTTTTTTTTTTCATCCACGGATTCCATACATATAAACTTTAAAATTTAGAAAATTGTTTTTTTAAATCCAAAATTTAGCACCGTTTGAAGTCATTAGGTGGGGACTATGTTAGGAGTTTGATTAGTTTGTAGGTCGAATCTGTGTTGCCATGGTACCAAAAATTGTGTATTTTTCTAAAATCATGTGACTTATAAATTTCCTTAACTTGTGCCCTTAGGCACATTTAGGTGGACCTAATTTATATCCATGGCACATTTAGATCATCTGATTCAAGTTGGTCTTAAAACGTGTTGAATTCGAACTTTGTAGCTTCATTAGAATAGAAATTCAGGGCAACAATTGCAATTTTTCTCATAGTTCTTTGACTTTACCACAGACCGACAAAAAGAGCTGTTGGCTTATGCAATAATAAATGGTAATTAGTATAACTGAATGAGGCAGTTGTGTGTATACTATTGAAGTTTAACATGTTCAGTGACTAGTAAGTATTAACAAGGATGTCCATGAGTCAATGCTGTGTCGTCTATTGCTCTCCCTGTCTTGCACTTTTTATTTGTGTCAAATTATTTGTCACTTTAAAATATCAAGAAAGTATTTATCACTTCTTTCTAATAATACCCTTATTTATTAAGGGATAGTTTTTGCCAACTAACAAATAAAACAACTTTAAAATTAGTTATAACCTAACTACTGCAAAAACTTAAGCACTTTTAATAGGGATATTTTAGTGAAATCAATATCTTTATCATAATAGTTTGTAAATCTAATCATTTCTTAAAATATGTGCATTAGTACTAAGTAACAACTAATATGAGACAGAGGGAGTAGATTAGAATGTAGTCCATGTAATTCCTCGTCTGTTTATCTTCGCTAGTCTGGACTGAGTTTATGTCATGTTGGTTCTTTCAGGTTGATATTTAGGAATTCAAGCTCAGCAGTTGAGTGGGCCCAAAGAAACAAATATTTTCATATGATCTCGAGAGGAGTTGAGCAAGACGGTTGGAGATTTGTTCTTCTTGCCCGCTTCTCACCTGTGCCCTCTTATGTTATTAACTATACCTTGGCTGCTACTGAAGTTGGGTTCTTTTTAGATTTTCTTCTTCCTACTGCTATTGGATGTGTCCCCATGATCTTGCAGAATACATCTATTGGAAGCCTTGCTGGTGCTGCTGTTGCTACAGCCTCTGGTTCTAAGAAATCTCAAATTTGGTCGTACTTTTTTCCTGTAGTTGGTATTTTGTCTAGTGTACTTATTTCGTTGAGAATTAAAAAGTATTCAACCCAAGTTTCGGTATCTGAAATCTCTCCCAGCAGAAATAACACAGCTGATTCGTGACAAACCTTATCTGGCAGTGAAGAGACGGAGTACCTATGAAGAATTTAAGGGTCATTTTTGTATTGAGTTAGCATTACATTATATATATATATATATATATATATATATATATATATATATATATATATATATATCCCTATGAATGTTTGTTGTGACTTGATCATCATTTAGTCTGCTAGTTGCACTTCACTTCAGTTGCGTAGACTCTGGTTGTTTTTTATTATATTTGAAGCTTTTTTTTTAGATAGAGTAGTGGAACGCGCACAATAAATCTTCGCACTGCACACAAACTAAGCTGCGGCATCAGTGTACGGGTCGGTGGTCCTACTCCTACTTGCACTTGTTTTTCTACGAAAGAGCTTAGATGTAAGACTAAGAGCCGACGGTGCAATTACGCAGGTTTGTGAATGGAATGGAAGGAGTATGCTCTCTCTACGATGTTTAGTTTAGTTTCGTTTTTATCGGTTATATTCGTCTTGAATGCATTTATGTTTAATTGAAGAGGGTCTTAATTTTTAGAAGGTAATAAACGCGAATTTGGACAATAAACATTTGTTATTTTATCAAATTATCTTAATTATTTGGAAAGTATCAGTACTCATTTAAAATTTAAGAAGGTAACTTGACATCGAGTGAATTGTACGCTACCAACATCCACCAAAATAATCTTTGATATTTAATGTGGACGATAATGATATGCCTGCACAACTGTTGTGTAGTGTAAATGCGCGTAATAGGTGGCTGCATTGGCATTTAAGAGCAGCTCCCCGACCCGTCTGTCACCATCAAGGGGTTTCAGCTTCAGCCTGATATGTGAAATGCACGGCAGTAACATAATGCTACGATGCCGACAAGAAAAAGAAGCGTATTTTTTACTTATCCAAAGGGAAAGAAGATATCGATTATTGAGGAAAATGAAAGTTTTATATGATAAAATTAATCCTCCACATAATAATAATAATAATAATAATAGTAATACTAATAGTAATAATAATAATAATAATAATAATAATCATGATGATGATGATGATAATAATAATAATAGTAATAGTAATAGTAATAGTAATAGTAGTATAATAATTATTGAAGGGTGTTTTCTCTTTGTTGAATCACTGTATTGTGGGCTTCTGTGGCCCGAATCCCAGCCCAGTGAGCCCACAACTAGCAGGCCTCGCTTCCTGTCCCCAGACCACGAAATCCACAGCAAATACAAATCAAACGGGCTAGCCCATAGTTTGACACCCCTAAAGAGAAAAAAAAAGAGAGAAGAAAAACAGAGAAGTCGTCTTGGAGAGAGAGCGAGAATTGAGGTTCTTGTTGCTGTGTTAGATCCCTCTGAAGTTGAGTGGAAGAAGAAGCTATAGAGTAAAATGCTGCAACCACGCGCATTCCGCCCCTACATACCATTATCCTCATCCACCAGTGCACCTTCCTTCTCTTCTTCCCCAAACCCTAACCACAAAGCCACGTTCCCATCGCAACACGACAATGGGAGCAGCAGCACCTCCTCCAACTCCAGATCCCTCAAAACCCCCTCCTCGTTCCTCCACAACTACCGGATCGCCATCGCCCTTGTCCCCTGCGCTGCCTTCCTCCTCGACCTCGGTGGCACCTCGGTGGTCGCCACCCTGGTCGTCGGCCTCATGATCGCCTACATCCTCGACTCCCTCAACTTCAAACCCGCAGCCTTCTTCGCGGTGTGGTTCTCTCTCGTCTTCGCCCAATTCGCCTTCTTCATAACGGCCTCATCCTCCCTCTTCGCCGCCTTCAACTCCTCCGTGGCCCTCGCCGTCCTGGCTTCCTTCCTCTGCGCCCACACCACCTTCCTAATCGGCGTCTGGTCCTCACTCCAATTCAAGTGGCTTCTCCTCGAAAACCCTTCCATCGCGGTGACTCTCGAGCGCCTTCTCTTCGCCTCCATCCCTATCTCCGCCCCCTCCATCTTCGCCTGGGCTTCCATCACTGCCGTCGGAATCAACAACTCAGCCTACTACTTCCTGGCCTTCAACTGCTTCTTCTATTGGCTCTTCTCTCTCCCTCGCGTTTCCTCCTTCAAGGGGAAACACGAATCGAGGTTCCACGGAGGAGAGGTTCCACATGATAGCTTCATCCTTGGTCCCCTTGAGAGCTGCATCCACACCCTCCATTTGCTCTTCCTTCCTCTCCTTTTCCACCTTGCTTCCCATTACTCCCTCGTTCTCTCTTCCCCTGCTTCCTTCTGCGACTTGCTTCTCCTCTTCTTCGTTCCCTTCCTCTTTCAGCTCTACGCCTCCACCAGGGGTGCGCTCTGGTGGCTCACTAACAACTCCAACCAGCTTCACAGCATTCGCGTCGTCAATGGTGCTGTTGCTTTGGTCTTCCTCGTTGTTGCTTTAGAGATTAGGGTCGTTTTTCATTCCTTTGGGAGGTATATTCAGGTGCCCCCGCCTCTGAATTATGTTCTTGTTAGCATCACCATGCTTGGAGGGGCTGCTGGTGGTGGTGCCTATGCCATGGGTATGGTTTCCGACGCCCTCAGCTCTGTTGCTTTCACCACTTCCGCCATTGTCGTCAGCACTGCTGGAGCCGTTGTTGTGGGTTTTCCCCTACTGGTGAGCAGTTTAACACTTGTTTTAGTTTGTTTTATGATCCGTGATTCTCTACAAACATGGCTTCAGTGTGGATTCGATATACATTGTTTTTGGACATTGATGTCTGCCCTTATATCTATCTTTAGGCTGTTTCCAATTCTTGTAGAACTGGTAGTTTTGATTTGATTTCATAGATGATGGTTTATACAAACTATGGCTTGGTTTTCCTGTTTTGGAATAGAATTCATTAAGAAAGGGAATATGACAAAGTCTATATTCTATGGAAGTCAAGTGAATAACTAAAAAAATGTGTTAAAGGAAAGAGCAATGCAGTCACTTTGCAAGTCCTTCCTTGAAACACCCTTAAATAATTTGACCATGAGCAGAAACCCATAAAAAAAAGAAGCTAGGAAGCCGAGCCTGTCCCATAGATTTTGTTGTCAAAGATAATGATTTCTAAAGTGTCTGAACTTATGCTCCATTCTGTTGCGGCTAGTGAGCAACCACTTTCTGTCAACTGCACAGTGCCAAAGGGCCTGTTTATTCTTCCTTTATTCCAAAATCCTTTGACTCTGTGTGTGTGTTCATACAGAAAAAGCGGCTTATACTTGTTTTAAGAACTCCTAACACATAACGCAAACATTTGGGGATTTGGGTCTTCTCATTTTACTTGTTAACATTAGAGGGTCATGCCATGAGAGAGAAAGAGGCAAATTTTATCATTGTGGGATCCACCCTTAGTTAAGGAAAGGAGATGTGTGGTGAGCCTTTCATACTTGTTGCTTAAGTTTCTTCTGCTCAACCTCTGTATTTTTGCTGTCACCAGCTCTTTCTAAGTCAAGTTCTGTGTTCTCTTTTTACAAGAACCTGATCCATTGCATTGCTGGTCTTTCCATGCAAACCAAATTGAGTTGCACCTTTGCTTTCAGTTTTGTCAGCAGTCTAACCTAATTGGGTCACTACCATCAAAGCTTGGCAATTAAACCTTTTTTACCTATTATGGACTTCAAATTGCTGTCCAACTGTGTTTCTATTCTATGTGAAACCGGATACCTTTTTCCATGGGTTGGTTATTATCTTCCTCAAGTCTGATCCCCTGCATCTCCATCCATTTGTTGAGTAGTGGCCAAATACCCTCAATTGCACCTATTTTTTCTTTGTATTTCTGCCACATTTTGAAATTTTGGTTTTTGACTAAGCTCAGTGGCATCATGTGATCCATGTAACTGACATCACTTAGTGAGATAAGACTTGCTTGATGTTGTTTCTGCCACGTTTGCATCTAGTAAATGTAACCCCTGTTCAAATGGTAGACAGCTCACGTGCTTTGCTAATGATATATAATTTACAGCCATATACTTTTTAGATTTTTATTGGCTCATTACTTATGTTTATGTCGCTGATTACTGTTACCTGTTCATGTTATTTGTTTTTAACACTTAATTTAATTATTACTTTTATGTCATGTATGCTTTAATTTTTTTAAACTTTTTAATTATATTTACTATCTTCAGTATAGTAACCACTCTATGATCCATTATACCATTATAGTGTTATTTAGGGCAGCTTTTGATCCGAAATTAACTACCCTGGGCAACATATTAAATGTGGAAACTGGAAAATGCTGTTTGATGTGCTAAAATTTATATTGCTTCATGAAACAACTGGTTGATGAACTTCACGTCATTTTTCGTAAAATGTTCAATTCCTGCTGGCTTCTTTGCAATGATGATGCTATAGCTTAATTTAGTGGTTTAATATTTAGATCCATTAACCCTTTTAAAATTCCTCTCTCTTTTACTGAGATATTATCAACCTTTGATATGCAGTTCCTTCCTCTGCCTGCAGTTGCTGGCTTTTATTTGGCTCGGTTTTTTGAAAAAAAGAGTCTAGCATCATACTTTGCTTTTGTTATTCTTGGGAGCTTGATGATTACATGGTTTGTTCTGCACAACTTCTGGGATTTAAATATTTGGATGGCAGGCATGTCACTTAAATCTTTTTGTAAACTTGTAATAGCAAATACTGTCCTGGCTATGGCTATTCCTGGTTTAGCTCTTCTACCTTCAAAGTTAAACTTTTTATCTGAGGCCGGTCTGATAAGCCAGGCATTGCTCTTATGCTACATTGAGAACCGATTTTTCAACTACTCCAGCATTTACTATTATGGATTTGAGGATGAGGTGATGTATCCAAGCTATATGGTTGTGATGACAACTTTATTGGGTTTGGCTTTGGTGAGAAGGCTATCTGTGGATCATCGAATTGGAGGAAAAGCTGTTTGGATTTTGACTTGCCTCTTTTTTTCAAAACTGGCCATGTTGTTCATATCATCAAAGTCTGTTGTATGGGTTTCTGCAGTTCTCTTATTGGCTGTTTCTCCTCCATTGCTCCTTTACAGGTATTTGTGAGTTTGTGACATTCTCTGGAACGTGTCAGTTTGGGGGGATCCTAAACTTTACTGTCAACCTTGTTAAATTTCACTGTTGGATTTTGTAGGGATAGATCAAAAACAGCTTCTAGGATGAAACCATGGCAAGGTTACGCACATGCCTGTGTTGTTGCCTTATCAGTATGGTTTTGCCGTGAAACAATCTTTGAAGCCCTCCAGTGGTGGAATGGAAGGTCTCCTTCAGATGGTTTAGTTTTGGGCTTCTGTATACTGTTGATTGGATTGGCTTGCATTCCTATTGTTGCTATTCATTTCTCTCATGTTTTGGTATGTATATTTATTTTATCCTGTGTTTTTCATTCTTTTATTTTTGGAGAGGGCATCATTTGATATCCATTGCAAACTTTTGGGTAGTCCCATGATTCATAACCAATTAGACATTATTTATGGGCAACAGAAAAATCAATCATGTCTTCCTAATTAATACATGATATTAAAGATTGATCATAAGCTTTTGTTTTGTCTGCAGTCTGCCAAAAGATGTCTGGTGCTGGTCGTGGCAGCTGGTCTACTTTTTATTTTGATGCAGCCACCTCTTCCTTTGTCTTTGACTTACCAGTCGGACCTAATCAAGACTGCCCGTCACTCTGCTGATGATATCTCAATTTATGGGTATATAGCTGGCAAGCCTACATGGCCTTCTTGGCTGCTTATTATTGCAATTTTGCTGACTCTAGCATCTGTTACATCTATCATACCGATTAAGTACATTGTTGAATTAAGAACATTTTACTCCATTGCTGTGGGGGTTGCCCTTGGGATCTACATTTCTGCGGAATACTTTCTCTGGACGGGGATTCTGCATGTTCTCATTGTTGTCACTATGGTTTGTGCCTCTGTTTTTGTTGTCTTCACTCATCTTCCCTCTGCAACTAGCACAAAGCTATTGCCCTGGGTATTTGCTCTACTTGTGGCTCTCTTTCCAGTTACTTATCTTTTGGAGGGCCAACTTAGAATTAAAAATATTCTTGATGATAGTGAGATTGGAAATTTGGGTGAGGAGGAGAAGAAGCTTACAACATTGCTAGCTATTGAGGGTGCCCGAACATCTCTTCTTGGTTTGTATGCGGCAATCTTTATGCTTATAGCCTTGGAAATAAAGTATAAACTTGCTTCAATTTTACGGGAGAAAGCTGTTGATTCAGGTGGAATTAGACATAATCATTCAGGTCAAAGTGCATCTGCTAGTTTCCTGCCAAGAATGAGGTTTATGCAACATCGTCGAGCTTCTACAGTACCCTCTTTTACAATTAAGAGAATGGCTGCTGATGGAGCCTGGATGCCTGCTGTTGGCAATGTTGCCACAATACTGTGCTTTGCTATATGTCTAGTCCTGAATGTTAACCTTACAGGTGGCTCAAACCGCTCAATATTTTTCCTGGCTCCTATCCTGCTTCTGCTTAATCAGGATTCAGATTTTGTTGCTGGTTTTGGGGATAAACACAGATATTTTCCTGTGACTGTTGTTATCTCAGCCTACTTCGTTTTAACTGCCCTCTACAGCATATGTGAAGATGTTTGGCAAGGTAATACTGGATGGGGTCTTCAAATCGGTGGGCCAGACTGGATTTTTGTGGTGAAGAATTTGGCTCTCCTCATTCTTACGTTTCCCAGTCATATACTTTTCAACAGGTATGTATGGAGCTGTACGAAGCAGAGTGACTCACCCCCATGGATAACTTTGCCCCTCAATCTGCTTCCTATTGCATGTACAGATGTACTCAAGATTAAGATCTTAGGTATATTAGGAGTTATATATTCCCTGGCTCAATATCTAATTACTAGGCAACAGTATATCTCAGGTCTTAAGTACATCTAAACAAACATGTATTCTGTACGATATGTTTTGTCAATTCAGGTATTGATGCATGTGCTTGTCTTCCTTAAATTTGTCTGAGGAATATGCTGAAATGCATTTTTGTTGTTACACATTTAACCCATCTTTAAAAAATTAAATCAGTCTTGATGAATTAATGGGTTAGCTATTTATTTGAGTGTAGTTTGACGTTTCTTACGACCTGTTTTAAGCTTCTGATTATTCATGAATAAACGTTATGCCGAAACAGTTTTGGCAAGTCAAGAATAGGTCGTTTAATTGAACAGCCAAAATTTATCTTGAAGATATTAAATTTCATGTGAAAAGTGAATGTACTCGAAATTTATCTTGATCCTTGTATTTCACGTGGACCATCAATTTCTTAAACGTGTGCTTGTTTTCGCCACTCGTGTTTAACATCATATAGGTAACAGCTTTTGAAGAGTTTATTTATCTTTAAATTTCCGCAATATAAATATAAATCAAAACATCATTGGTTGACATGGATATATTTTGCTGTTACCTCATGAGTGCTATGCTTTGGTGCTGTGCCATGGAAACGTGATTTTAAATCTTTATGGACTAAATGTTTAAATATTTATTAACTAAATTTTTCTCTGTTATCGGTAGTTCAAAAATAAGAACAGAGCACTATTAAGTCAGAATAAAACTAATGTGCAAATCTTTTGTGTCTTGCTGTACAAGCTACCGCTAAGACAAGGTTGAGTGGTGCAACTTGATAACCACCATCATCACTAAAGTAGAGACGTGTAACTTTGCAAGACTTCGAATCATTGCTGTGTATGAAAGTTTTGTGAGCACTATAGTGGAGGGGTTTGATTTTAAGACCCAGAAGAATCGCGAGCCCCAACTGTGAAAGATGAGACCCATGTTGTCCATGAGCCCATGTATGTGGAAGGCTTAGGTCAAAATAGTTGAGCAAAATTGTGAAATAAGTTAGCAAAACCTTGAAACACATAGTTTCAACATCAACCAAGTTGAAATATCGCATCTGCAAGTCCAAGCTGTATTTGAATGTTTTAAGTCGTATCTCAGTTGTTATCATAGATGCATTAGAGCACCATACACGTAAGTTTCATTGTATGTTAGTGTAAAAAACTTTGCTAACAAGCCCAAGGTGTATTTGAATATTTTCTGAGTACCGATCTAAACACACCTACGCGTAATAGTATTAGATGTACTTCCGACATTGATACTTTAACAAACTTAGTACTATTCAAGCCTCATAGATTTCTATCTATTTTTGTTGCTATAAATTTTGTGCAATTTCCCAACCATACAGCAGTTTGGTTGCAAGATAAACATTACATTTTGTTAGTCCCTAAACATGTTTAAAATTTTCAGATTAGTATTAAACTCATCGCATGCTCAAGGTTTTTTTTTTTTTTTTTTTTTTTTTTTAAACAAAGACATCTAATTAACCATTTTTTATTGGCAAGATTTGGTGAATAATTATCTCAAATCCTTTAAAGCAAATACTTTGCCTTATTGTTTCTTTATTGCTAATGCAATTATGTATGGGTACCAATCCTTATTGGGTTTGTAGAAGCATGACAGATTGAATTATTCAAAAACATCGTAGCCATTCTAGAACTCTTTCATATCTTGGAACGTGCTCTTTTAAGTTTACCAAGGGTTGGCAAGCATACATAGTTTTATTAATAATAAAGACGAAAAAAGGGAAAGTATATGCTTGTAAAGGATTTGAGATAATTGTCCAACAAAATTTCGCCTAACAAAGAAAGGTTAATTAAATGCGTTTTATGTAAGAGAGGTTTTTGGTATTTGATATATAATTTTAAATAAAATTATCTTCTATATAAAACTACTTATGGAGAAGAAAAAAAAAAAGAAGCAAAACCTCTGTAAGCATAGTTTCCACCTTGTCCATCATACTCCTTGATTAACCTTAACTTACATCACATCAAAGCCTTTTTGTTACCTTCCGAATATCTCCATTTTTTCTGATTATTCAGAGTTCGCGTTTTCGTTTATAGATTCACATTACAGTATTATCATTATAAGAAAAAATAAGACACTTTAGACCTTATATAGACTTTGTGCGTGAAGATTGTTCACATGAGCAAATATTCTTTTTAAATGATGGGGGTGCTATTAACATTAAGCCAAAGCAAAAAGGGAAAGGAAGAAGAGGCAAACTTTCCTTAGACCGGTGAAGGGCTTCATGTGAGACCAAAGGGGAAAGGTTGTAAAGATGAAAGTGAAAAAATTGAGGCTGTATAAACATGGATGGACTCAAAAAATACCTAAGAGTAAACAAAATTTAACATTTATTATATGCAAATAATAAGATTATAATTTATTTTACAAAAAGTTAGAAGGGTATATTACATTCTCACCTTTTAAGATTTAAGAAAATTTTACTTGACATTATCTCTTTTTTAACAGTATTTTAACTTCTCCTAATTTATATAATTATATAAGAAATCAGGAATAATGTATGTAATTAATAGAGTATGAAGGATAATTGAATTTAGACAATGAATATTTATAAAAAATATTTTTAATGAGTATAATTTAATTATATCTATAAATGGGTGCAATATGAAATCTACACACAAAAACTAAGATTTGAAATATTTTTTAAAGTTTTTTATTGAGTTACATATGATGTATTTTAAACTAATACTTTTATTTTAGCAATCTTAAAATAACATTATTTTATTGATTTGTACAAAAAAGACATATTTAATTAAAATAAATAAATAGTGAGTCCAAATATTAATATCAGATTTAAACAAAAATGATATCTTTATAAAAATAAATGTAAGAGTTCAAAATTAAATAAAGGACTTAAAACTATAATGCAATAACAAATACATTTATATATATAAAATAAAAATATACAAAAATTATACAAAATGACTTTTTTATTTTGTTTTACTTACATTTATTAACTACTTTAACAACCAATTTTATCAAATAATAATTCTCATTCAGTTAACTAAATTTATAATTTATAATCAAAAATTAATTTTTCATTTTTTAATTAACATCAATTAGTTTTTCCAAACATATATTTTGTCTGAAAGGCAAGGTTGCAAGTGGGATATGTGAATATAAAATCCTAGCTTGAAAGATGAGGCTGAGAACTTGAGATGCTAATATTCACCTTTTACAAATATTGAAACTTTCCCTTGATAGTTGATACCAACACCTTTTAGATGTTTTGCAAGAAATTATAAACAAACACACGTATATATTGACAATCTATAGAATTAGATACTCAGGATCGTTTCCTTCTTTCAATATGCTTCATAGATTTTGCAAATTAAAATGATTCTTTAGACTATTACGAATGCTCGGAGAGGGCATTGCCGTAGGATATCTATTTTCTGATTTTCAAATTGTAACATCTTTATTTTCGCTCTTTCCATGTGTTTGTGTGTGTAATGCGATTTTTTCTTTTTTTTCAAAAATAATTCAAGGTATTTTATAAAATTTTATTATTTTAGTTAAAAAAGTTTTGAGATAAAAGTATTTATTTTATTTTGTTCAAATAATTCGTTGGTATGTGTTTGATTTTTTTTAAAGATAGATCTCAATGCTTTGAATTATTTAGAAATCTCATAATTATATTTGAGTTGCAACTATTATACGCACTAGTAAAGGTAGTGTAGTAGTAGAAAAATTAGTCCTTAGTCTGGATTTGGAAGTCTTTGGGTTCAAACCTCACAAGGTAGCTTTCTCTCTTCTTCCCCATCACTCACCCTTACTCTTTGAACATCCAATAAGGTAAAAACATTCTTTCATCCTTGTTCCTTAGTGTTTTCATCGATCAAAGCAAAGAATTTTGCACCTCCTCCATGAAAAAGATTGAAACCTCCCTCATTACATTCACTGTGTGAGACATTTTTGACCCTCTAAATTATACTCAATAACTGTATATTTGAATTTTGCAGTGGAAAAGCTTATAAATGCAAGTGGTTTCACTTAAAACGAACATTGGATTCACAAGTTAGAGTGAAATCATTGAGATTGCTTTCTTGCTCTATGTTTTCTGCATTTTAGTAGTGAAGGAGGCTACTTTTAATTTCTGTCATCTCTAAATTTAACATGAAAACCTTCCTCTGTATTCCTTGCAGAAACACCTTTCCAATGGTATATTATAAGTTTTAATCTAATATCATTTACCCCCTCAATTGCCTAGAGTTCGTGAGTACTTTTATTTTTACGTTTTTATGTAGATACAGTGTAAAGAACCAATTTTTATGCCCTCTGTACTGATCTCTTTTAATTTGAAATTTTGATTTTCATAAATTGCATGAAGATATCTTTCCAATGCATTATCTCAAGCTTGATTTGGAGTCTGTTTCACCACTCAATGACTTGATCTCGTAAGTATGACCCAATCTTAATTTTGCTGGTCCAACAACCATGTTCTTGAATTTCTTGGAAAATTTTATGCAAAAAAACTAACATGTAAACCTTCCATCTTGTTCCTTATTGTCTTAGCTTTCAGACGCACTTTGTGGCTTGTCGATCAGACTTCAACTGATCAAGATAATGCAAAGTTCAAAGCTTCATAGAGAAAGTCTGTGTTTTTCATCTTGCATGCAATTTTTTCTGCATATTTCACTTGCTATACCTCCTTGTTTTTAACTTGACCTTATTCTTTCACATAGTACACTTTATTAGCTTTCCATAGTCGCTTTCGGAGTAAGATTTGGAGCAAAGATCAAGGAGAAAAACTAGCTTTCCATGCTATATCTGATTCTGAAAAAAATTTATGAAAATAGTGAAAAGAATGTGTTTTTAAATCCCTCTTCATCCAACTTTATGAATATTCGTAAACACTTATGAAATCCTTATAATTAGATCTTTCCAACAAGCTATCCTAAGCCCATTTTCGATTTCATTTGCTAAGTCAAAATGTCGGGACAAACAGAAGTTTCATTTCAAAAATTAGTAAACACACTCTACATTAATATGTGTTATGACCAATCTGTATTTTCAAAAATTTTAATGAGCATATTTTTATAAACCTCAATGTCTTAGCTTTCAAACAAAATTAGTTAGACTTGATTTGGATCACAAATTAATGAGGTATGCAATTTTTAATAAAGCTGTCTCATAATTACATTTTCTCTTCTAACAGCAGTATAAGTCTTCTTTTTGAACCACTTACATGTGATTTTACTGACATGCATTCACATACTTGTGTTCCTTATGACATAACATTTTCATCAAGTCATCTTGTGCGCAATTTGAA